TAATTTGGTTTTAAAATAATTTTAAAAAAGAAAAGGCCAATAATTTAATATTCTATTTTAATTACATTTTAAATTTAGTATTTTGTATTTGTACCTGTTTTAGATGGCTGTAAGCCGCCCTGAGTCCGCTGGGAGAAGGGCGGGATAGAAATTTAATAAATAAATAAATAAATAAATAAATAAATAAATAAATAAATAAGGAAGGAAGGAGATGGAGGGAGGAAAGGGAGGGAAGGAAGGAAGAAAGGAGATGGAGGGAGGGAAGGGAGGGAAGGAAACTTGAGAAGGAGAGAAGGAAGGAGATAGAGGGAGGGAGGGAGGGAGGGAGGGAGGGAGGAAGGAAGGAAGGAAGGAAGGAAGGAAGGAAGGAAGGAAGGAAGGAAGGCTGTCATCTCAAACTGGTCAGGATCGGAGGGATCAAACTCCTGGCAGTGGGCTGAATTATCCTGTAATACTGCATTCTCACCACTGCCCATTGGATTAAGGGATTGAATTAACCCTTTTGCTGGTTATGCAATCTCCTAAACCTGAAATGAAGAGTCGCAGCCCCCTAAATTAACCAAGGTTCAAATGAACCCGGCTACCCCCATTGGGCCAATAGAACTCCCTGGCATTAGGCGTTACGTGAACCCAGGAGTGGGTCAGTCAGACTGGTGGCCATGGCACTGAATGAAAAGAAGGACTCGGGGTGACGTGATAGCAGCCTTCCAGTATTTGAGGGGCTGCCCCAAAGAAGAGGGAGTCAAGCTATTCCCCAAAGCCCCCGAAGGTGGGACAAGAAGCAACGGATGGAAACTCATCAAGGAGAGAAGCAACCTGGAACTAAGGAGGAACTTCCTGAGAATGAGAACAAATAATCAGTGGAACAGCTTGCCACCAGAAGTTGTGGGCGCTCCATCAAAGAAGAGATTGGACAAGAATTTGACCAGGAGGGTATAGGATCTCCTGGTTGGATGGGTGGGGGGTTGGACTAGAAGATCTCCAAGGTCCCTCCCAACTCTGTTATGGGCGCTCCATCCCTGGAGGTTTCCAAGAAGAGATTGGACAGCCCTCGGTCTGAAACGGCAGAAAGTCTTCTGTCTTGAACAGGGGGGCGGGGGTAGGACTAGAAGACCTCCAAGGTCCCACCCAACGCTCTCATTCTGTTTATATATCTCAGCTCTTGTGTTCTCCTTCCGCAGCTTCGGCTTCCTGGTCGGCTGCTTACCCGGACAGCGTGTCGTCCATCACGGGTTCTTGCGCGGTGCTTCCGTGCACCTTTGCCTTCCCCGGCGACGTGTCCGTGGCCAATGGGATCGTGGCCATCTGGTACAAACACGAGAATGAGCAGCTGGTCACCGTTCTCCATTCCACCTCTCCGGAGAAGGCCGATGCGCGCTTTCAAAACCGGGTCCAACTGCTGGGGGATTCCCTGGAGCGCAACTGCACCCTCCTCCTGAGAGAGCTGACGAAGGAAGACAGCGGCCCATACTCCTTCCGCTTTGAAATCGTCAAGGCCAACAGCTGGACGGAGAAGAAGCAGCTCCAGCTGACCATCACAGGTAGGTGGTCCCCGTCTCCGGCCGCGAAAGGAATCGTCAGTCAGAATAAGAGCTGGAAGGGACCTTGGAGGTCTTCTAGTCCACCCCCCTGCTCGAGCAGGAGAACCTACACCATCTCAGACAAGTGACTGTCCAGCCTCTTCTTAAACACCTCCAGTGATGGAGCAGCCACAATTTCTGGTGGCAAGCTGTTCCGCTGGTTTAATTGTCCCGGCTGTTAGGACGTTTCTCCTTCGTTCCAGGTTGCTTCTCTCCTTGATTAGTTTCTATCCATAGTTCACTTGTCTGAGATGCTATAGGTTCTCCTGCTTGAGCAGGGGGCTGGACTAGAAGACCTCCAAGGCCCCTTCCAGCTCTATTCCTATTCTATTCTGTTCTGTTCTATTCTTTATTATCCTAGCCATTTTCTATTTCTATTCTATTCTATTCTATTCTATTCTATTCTATTCTATTCTATTCTATTCTATTCTATTCTATTCGTTCCGAAATGGTATAGGCTTTCCTGCCTGAGCAGGGGGTTGGACTAGATGACCTCCAAGGTCCCTTCCAACTTTATCATTATTATTATTACTAGCGTTGCTGTGGCTCAGTCTGGTTAAATGGAAAAGAAAGAAAAGAGAAAGCGCACGTTTGTGTCACAGGTGTGACATCTATATAATAGTAGGTATATACAAACATGCGCGTATTCGAATGCAACGTTGTGTCAAAATTTCAAAGCAATCGGTGAAGAACTTTCGGAGATTTAAGATTTTGAACAAACGAACATTTACATTTTTATTTATATAGATTATTATTGTTGTTGTTGTTGTTGTTGTTGTTCTGTTCTGTTCTGTTCTATTCTTTATCTTATCCTATCCTATCCTATCCTATTCTATCCCATTCCATTCCATTCTATTCTATTCTATTCTATTCTATATTCTGTTCTATTCTATTCTATTCTATTCTATTCTATTCTATTCTTTATCCTATTCTATTCTATCCTATCCTATTCTATTCTATTCTATTCTATTCTATTCTATTCTATTCTATTCTATTCTATATTCTGTTCTATTCTATTCTATTCTATTCTATTCTATTCTATTCTATTCTATTCTATTCTATTCTATTCTATTCTATTCTATTCTATTCTATTCTATTCTTTATCCTATCCTATTCTATTCTATTCTATTCTATTCTATATTCTGTTCTATTCTATTCTCTATTCTATTCTTTATCCTATCCTATCCTATCCTATTCTATCCTATTCTATTCTATTCTATTCTATATTCTGTTCTATTTTATTCTATATTTTATTCTATTCTATTCCGTTCTGTTCCGTTCCGTTCCGTTCCGTTCCATTCTATTTCTTGTCTTCTGGTGCTTTTATATAGTCCATGTGCTGGCTGGGGAATTCTGGGAGTTGAAGTCCACAAGTCTTAAAGTGGCCAGGTTTGGAGACCCCTGGACTACCGCATGGCCCAGGGAGATAAGAGGTCTTCTCCAGATGATGTGCCAAGTTGACCCCTTTGTCCTATTTCTTTCCTCAGATAAC